TATTATATATAAAGTCAAATCACCAAAAGGTCATGGGTTGGACTGTAGGTTCGACCGGGGGTTTACCCAGTGCGCACTTTCGGGTAGCGGCTGCGAGACTTTGGGAATATGTTTTATACTTTCTCATTTTAAATAATTACTCAATCAAACAATATGATTTAATTTTGAAATTTTTTAAATTTAAAATCATTCAAATCTATTTATTTAAAATATACAGTTTGTTTAGTTTTGATTTTAAATTATTTTATTTTAATCGTATTTTATTGTAATACTTCATCCGTTCCATTGTAAATAATATTTTTGATTAGGGAAAGTAATGATATTTAATTAGTTGTTAATAATTTGTTATGATATTATTTTATTATTTTTTATGTAAAAGATATTGTTAGTTTAAAAAGAAAAAATTTATAAGATTAAAATAAATTTAAAATATGTATAATACTTAAAAATTATATCTTAATAAAATATATGCAATATTAATATCAAATTTTACATAATATAAATAAATAAAATATCATTTATAATAAATATAAATTACTTTTACTAATAAACAAGGAGTTTTAAATGTATATAAATATATTTATTTATTGAAGAGAAATAAATATAGAGAATTTTGAATGTATTTCATATGATGTAATATTTCGAAAAAAAAAAAAAAGTAGAAGTATAGTGTCAACTCGGGTCGGAATGAATAATGTAGATTTGTGTTTAAAATCATAAACAAACAAACCTTTCATCAAACAAAGCACATTTAATAGGACTCGTGACCATGAAATCTAATTTGCAAGATATTAAATCGACTGTAAATTTACTCAAAATACACTCGAAGAATAACGAAAGCGGATTCTCATGTCATAAAAATAAAAAATAGTAATAATAATAATAATAATAATAATAATAATAATAATAATAAAACAGGCCTAATAGGAGTTAGGGTTTAAACTTTAAGGTCATTAGTGTATCTCCTTAGTTCAATATTAATATTATATTTTTTTTGAATTGGTTCATGAATAATGTTGGTAATAGAAATAACGATGTTTTTTTACAGTGTGAATTGACCAATGCTCCAAATATATTTATTTATTTACCGTATTTAAATTAAATACAAAAAAAAAAATAATATGCAAAATTTTATGTGTATTTATTATATATGATATCTATATTTGAGTATAAAATTTTTAGTAGTGTTCAGTTGATATTGTATTTCAATTTTTTTTAGTTATTTAGTTTTTCTATAAAAATATATTATTATTTTTTTAAAAAAATATATCATACCATAATATTATTTAAACAAAAATTAAACAACAACAACACTAATAATAATAATAATAATAAAAATTATTTTCTAAAGTAGGGTATGGTTAAATTGCAAAGTGTCAACAATATCATTTTCCAAGAATTTTACTCAAATTGAATTTAAGGACCAAATGCACTATAAAAATGAGATGATATAATACATAACTCTTCAATACACCATTGAGAAAATACCTTGATACCTTCATTTCATTATATATATATATATATATATATTATATATATAAAACATTAATTAATTAATGTAATTCATATATATATACATTAATATTACACATGGTATAATACGTAAGGATGGGGGGTTTGGATTTTGAGTTGAGATTTGAATAGTAAAAATTCTGAATTTGAATAGTTGTATGATGTGATATAAATAAGTGTTGATGTGATATTTTGAATATAAAATTGATTTTTAATATAATATAAAAAAAATAGGTGTTTGATTTGATGTTTTTAGAGGGAAAAAATAAGATGAATAATGGATTTAAAATCCAATCCCCCAAACAAACAAGCCCTATATTTATCTCTTAACAAAATATTTATTTGTTTTTTGCGTCGTTTTACTGAATATTAACAATATTATTACATTTGAATAATATTTTATATAAATATCATATACATATACATATAAATAGCACATCATTAATATTTATTTAGTAATATATAAATACAAATATCACATAGTTAACATCAATTCATCATTGTTTAGTAAAATAAATTAAAATATTTATACAATTTTATATACATAGTTTATATTCAATTAATAGAAGATATAAATATAAATATCACATAATTAACGTTCATTTAGCCCAATATAAGATAAATAACTTAGAATATATTTGAACAATTTTATATAAATATACAAATAACACATAGTTGTTAGCGTTTATTTAATATAATAATATATGATATAAATAACTTAGAATATATGTTGACAATTATGTATAAATAACACATATTTTATATAAAAATAGAAGGTCATGTAAATACAACTATCACATAGTTAACGTTGATTTAATATTACTCCCTCCGTCCCATATACCGTGTCTGCTACACTGTAGATACGGTATTTTAGGAGGGGTGTAATTAGGAGATAATTAAAAATGTATTAGTGAAAATAATTATTTTATAATATAAATAATTATAAATTAAGATTAAAATAACTAATTAGTTTAATTAAAATTAAAAAAAAATTAAAAAGTTTAAAATGATATTAAAGTGTATAATCATTTTCCAAAAAAGAAAAGTGACGTGCAATATGGAACAGACAAAAACGGCAACGTGGACATAGTATGTGGGATGAAGGGAGTATATAATATAAATATTTTAGAATATATTTAGACAGTATTATATAATTAGCACATAATTTATATTCAAATAGGCTATCGTATAAATAGAAACATCCTATAGTTAATATTTATCTAGCAGTATATAATTTTTAAATACATGTAATATTACTAAATTATTTTTATGAAATCTAAAACCATTAAATATATCATATATGTGAAATAATGCTGACAATTCATACTGAAAAAATAATAAAAAGTAAAAATGAGTTGATAATATTTTTTACAATTTGTTTAGTAATTAAAGATTATAACGAGAGACAATGTAATAAAAATAGGGCAATTATAATAAATAAATATTAATAAAAAATAATAATTAAATATTGAAATTTTAATCTTATTAAAATTAGTAATGAACTAAATTTATAAGTGTAATATATCAATATACATTTTACTGAAATTAATAATATGACATACCATGTGTGACTTTGTTTGGAAGTTTGGATTTTAAATTAAAATTAAAATAATAAAAAATTTGAATTTAAATAATTGTATGATTTAATATAAATAAATATTGTTGTGATGTTTTAAAAGTAAAATATATTTTGGGAATAATATAATTTTTTTTTTTAATTTGATATTGTTTTTAAAAAATTTTTATATGAATAGAATAATTTTTCAAAATCCTTCAAACAAATACACAATATAATAAAAATAATATATTTATATAAAAATTTGTTGGGTTTGTTTTCTGAAATTGTTTGAATGATTTTTTTTTTTTAAAAATTAAGATACAAATATTTATCTAATTAATATAAAAATAATAAATATGTATAATATATTATTATTATTTTTTTTAAAAAATGTGTGTATTATTTTGTCAAAAAGCCTACTACCTTTTTTCCCTATAATAATAAAAATACTTCTTTGCCATTCATATATATACATATAGTCATTCAAATCCTAAATTCTTAAATTATTTTTCTTATTAGTCAATGTTCATATAATTGTTCAATTTAACTCCCTATTATTTCACATAATTCTTTATTTATAATTATTACATATTTTATTCATCAAATTTTCATTTTACTGTAACTTTTTATTTATATTTTTATTCATCAAATATAATTCAAAACTCTTATGTAAATAATATATATTTTTGCTTATGGAACAAATTTATTTATTTTCTATGATATGAATTCTTGTATATAAAATCAATTCAATAATATTTGCAGAATTTGTTACAATACATTAATGAACTTTTATAATAGATAAATATTTTTTAAAATTAAAATTTATTTTTTTCAACTTGTTTATTATATTACTCATATAATCATACTTATATTTAATTGAGATCAATATTTTTCTTATAAATATTTTATATAATTATAATATGATTACTTTTGTATTATTTATTTATTTATTGTCAATTAAATTTTTTGTTGTTTTAATATTTTATTTTATATTCAAATGAAAAAAAAGTAGAATTTAAGTATAAAAATTAATGTTTATAGTGTTGGTGAAAAAAAAAAAAAAGAAAAACTGTAGAAGAAATTAAATGAGAGTATTATAGAGTTTTCATATGAATTGAGGGTTAAAATGAATAAATTTGTAAAAATAAAAAGTAAAGAAAATATAATTCAAGAAAAGAAATAAAGAATTATAGAGTTGTTTGGAAGTTGTCATTTATTTTATTTATTTTTAGTAAAAGTACTACTCCCTCCGTTCTAAACAAAGTTTTTAAGTGGGCTGTATTAGGTAGAATAATTTAGAAATTATGTGATGTGATGGAGAGATAAATGTATATTTTATTTTTTTTATTTGGATGATGCGAGGGGATAAAGTGTGGGGTGTAAATTATTTTTTATTTTTGAAAATATTGCAAAATATTTGGGACGGAGGGAGTATTTTTTATCTATTTTTTATTATTATTATTTTTTTAAAAACTAGTGCCCAACCAAATGGATATGGTATATGTTTCGTTTGCAAAATTTTTTAAAATTTTATTATTTAAACTTTATATTTACCGAAAAAAATTTCTTCTTACAAAATATTCAATCAAATACTCCCTCCGTCCAGCTAGAAAGTATACATGTTTCTATTTTGGGACGTTTAATTACAAAGTAACAATTTCATTAAATACCTCATTTTTTCCATAAATACCCCTACTTTACATCACATCATTACTTTTACACAAAAAAATAAAGGCAAAAATATCATTTCACTACTTTTACCTACCCACTATAATTAAAATACTATTATTCCTTAAATTTCTGTGCCAAAAGTAAATATATACTTATTTTGTGGACGGAGGGAGTATTATTTTTATATTAAAGATAAACAAAATTATTTTTCAAACTCATAAAAAATAAAAAAAAAGAAAAAGAGAGGACCTGGAATTCAAACCATGAGGTACATTAAACAACGAAAATAGAACGACCAACGCCTTTGCAGCCTCACCATGGAAGAAGACTCGCAATGACTTTTCAGGTTGCTTGAACGCGCTGGTGCAGATTTTCTTCCTCTACTTGTAATTGTGTGTTCCTTTGATAGTATTTTCCACCAAGCTTCCCGAGGTATCTACGACCTCCCCTAAGTCAGCGTAGCATTAATTGTTATTATTATTTTTTTTTCTTAATTGTGATTAAATTTCATTTTCGAGAGATTTTTGAGCGGCGTTTTGGATTTCCTACGTGTTTGGAGTGTCGGAATATACACACAATGATGCTACAGGGTTGCTGAAAAGTTTAATATATTATGTGCCTTGCCTGTAGCTTTCCAATAGACGCGGTTATGCGAGCTCTTTTGAGTTGATTTTTGAAACCTAATAATATATGAACAAAAAGGTGATTGCTCATGAAGGATGATAAAGTAAAAGGGAGTGATGTGATGGAGCAATAATGGTACATAGATTGCACACCTGATTTGTGGGTATTTTGTCTTAAATGATTTGGTGGTTGTGATTGTGTCATAACTGAAAGAGTAGCATCTGTGTGATTGACTTATATGGTTAGGGTATTTGTTTAATGTCTGAGGAAGCTTCCCAGGTAGTTTTCTGGGAGATGTTTTGATCTTTATTTAAGCACTTTTAGTCTGACCTACCATAACTAGATTTTTCCCATCCATATTTGTCGATTTGGGATTTGTGATGTTACCTAAGAGGCAGCTCAGGGAGGAGGGGGAGGGGGATTCCGGGAATCAGAATAGACGAAGGCTTATGTCTTTGAGGTGGATTTGTTTGCAGTTGATTGAATCTGTTGTCTTAATTGCTGTGATGTTGGTGGCTTTCAAACTACTACTTCATGTTTCTCACTCTGATGGGCTTTGTTGCAGTATACTCAAAGGAGCAAGAAATGTTCGGAATGTGCAAGGAATGGTGCCTGTCTTGGAGCCTCTTATCCGAAAATGGGTAAGATGTTTGTCACTTCTCTGGGTTACCAGATACTTTATTCTGTTTTTGTTTTTGTTTTTGTATTTGTGGAGTGCTCGAACTAATGCTTAAGCTTGAGAATTGACAAACCTTTTGGTGATTGAAGATGAGGTACAAAAGAGTTAAGGAACTTTGCTTTGTTTGCTGAGATTATGCATTTAGTATGTGTAGAACCAATTAAGAAATGCTGTTTTGATCAATTTGCACACTTTTTTCGTCATTCCATAATTGGAAATGCTTTCATTCCTAATTTCAAATTCATATTTGCATTTCTTTTCTTTGTTATTAGAATAGGTAAACTAATATGGCTTCTTTTGTCCTTACACACTTCTTACTATGTTTTTCGTTCTTAATATAGGTTCAAGAGGCAGTGGTTGCTGCAGTTGATCGAATTGAAAGGTCCGTAAACTCTTATCATCTTTATTTTTTCACTTTAGCTTAGTGCATTGCTTGTTATAATGGATGTTTCTTGCAGACCCTCCTATAGTGGAATTGCGTACTCGGGCTCAAGGACTCTGCAGCTGCAGTTTTGCAGTAAGTTGCCTGGCTCCCTATATACAGGCAGCAGGATCTTGTCTGAGGATGGAAGCCCTGTTCGACTAACCTTACGCGATTCCATCTCCAAGCAAGTTGTTACATCTGGTCCATTTTCGTCTGCTAGAGTGAATATTGTTGCCCTCAATGGTGATTTTGATCCTGATGATCAGATAGGATGGACAAAGGAAGATTTTGATCGTTATGTTGTGCAAAACAGAGAAGGAAGGAGGCCATTGTTGACCGGAGATTTGGCTATTTCTTTGCAAAATGGAGAGGGTCAGATTGATCAGGTGATTTTCACCGACAATTCCAGCTGGATGAGAAGCCGGAAGTTTCGATTGGGAGCGCAAGTGCATCTTACTACATCTGATGAAATAAGCATCAGGGAAGCCATGACCAACTGCTTCAAAATCTTGGATCATAGGGGGGAATGTAAGTATTTCTTTCTTGACTATGTTTCTTCATCTTTTAATCTTTCTGGTGATGGATATTTTCTTTCTTTCCTTCCCATTGGAGCTTGTCCACATTGCACCATAGGTGCGCCAATTTATGTCGCCTTTCATATCGAATGATCTTTTATTAGTTATTGCCTAACTAATCACCGGTGGAATTCTTACAAAACATTACACAAAATCTCTTTTTTTTCATAAATGGTTAGAGTGGAGGCCTCAAAATTCATGGTAGCTAAACTCAAAGTTTAAGTTGAATGAATGATCAATACATTGTTTTGTTTTTATCTCTATTGATTCATCTCTTAGTTTCTCTGAAACCTGTTTACTGTTATTCCAAACTAGGAGGACTAACTATCACATATATGGATCACAAATGTCGCAACATTTATATGATGCTTTTTTCGCCATTTTACAGCTTACCGTAAGCACTATCCTCCATCCTTAGCTGATGAAGTGTGGCGCTTGGAGAAGATAGCGAAACACGGAAAATTTCATAACAGACTGACATCCGTTAGTATTTTTTGTGTCCGGGATTTCTTGAGGTGGTATGAAACAAGTCAGCACGACTTGCGCTCTGTAAGATACTCATTCTTGGAGTCTGCTCTGCAATGTATTGCTGCTTGCACAACTAAGAATATATGTTCTTGACAAATTCATTTCTCATGAACCAGCTAACAAGATGTCTTCAATCTGCAGGTACTCGGTAATATTTCAAACAAGATGTGGAACAAAATCATCCAACATGCTACAAGCTGTATTTTGGATGATCAGAGATACACATACACGCCTGTCCCGGGGACTGAGCTGTTCTTCAACTCTGTCTACAAGTTGGTCGGAGTGCGATTGGATGGCCAAATCTATGATTCACTTGATACTCTCAACGTACAGAAGATGGTTAATTTCTTCATCCTCATAACTTTTTCCTGCATTTTCATCCGAATAAAGCTTGTTATAGATTTACGGCTTTACTTTTTTTTCTAGATCTCAACCTTGACACGCTGAACATCCCTTTGCTTTCATTAGAATTTTGTTCGCGATTCACATCCAACTGTGACTACCAATTCATTTGAAACTCGCATGACACTTACCTATCTTGTTTTTCGATTACAGAGGATGGTGGAAGATCTAAAGCAGCTCGCGTACAGAAACATGGAAGACTGGATTTTAGACACACCCGCCATCGCCTACCCAAACCTTCCAATAAATACAACTGATCATTTCAACCATCCTCCTACCGTTGATCTCCAGGATAAATATCTCCATGTTGATCAAGGTAAACACACTGCTCCAGTGCTATTTCACCTTCTTCAGTCATCACTGATTCTGCTGTTATTCAAGTTTCTCGAAAACTTCTACTATCGCCCACCCAACAACTGATTATTAAGTGTTTAATCTGTGGTAGCTAAACCGAACTTTCTTCCCAGGCCAACCCGAACTGCAAATCAACAATTACCACCAACCAACAATATCCTCTTTGCCTTCCAACGCCGGAGAAGCCAACCGACATCATGCTAGTTTTGAGATCGGCGAAAGCTCCCAAATGCAACAGGGGTTCAATCCTGGATTTAGAAACAGTATTGGCATGACTGATTACTCTCCCAGCCCCTTCTTCGGCAGCATCTGCTTGGGATCATCTCCGCTGTGTGCCGAAGATTTGCCACCAGCCAACAACCACTTCCACGGCGAGCCATCATCGTCCTCTACATATGACATGCTGTTTTCTGATTCCAACAATCATGAAATCAGTCCAAATTCCGCTGGCATCATGATCCCCAGAAATCTCACACCCAAAACAAGATGGTACAAACTCCTCTCCGTCGTCAAGTGGAGAATCCTGGTTAAACGCAGCGTAGCTGCAAGAAAATGGAAGCAATTCTTCGACTATATGTAAGTAGTGTACTCAAAGATTTTAACCATTTCCATATCCCCACGTTTTGTGAAGCTGCAAGAAAGATGGGTCTCTCTATGTGATTAGTTTTGTAGTAAGAATGGAGTTAGTTCTTTCATGTCTGTGAATCCAGCCTGCATGTAGTGAAGAAACAATGGAGTATTGTGTTAGTTAAGCTTCCTGATGCTGGCTGGCTGTCTGTCTGTCTGTATTTATGTATGTATGAATGTATCTTTGTTAATCGAAGTGGTTCTGTAGCTTTTCTTCCTGCTATAAAAATGGAGTTTCTAATTCTAGGTATAAGTAAGGGTGTGTAATGGTGTGTTTGCCCCGATATTGAGTTGGGATTTGAATCGTAAAAATTTTGAATTTGAATAATTGTATGATAAGATATAAATAGATATTGATACAATATTTTAATATAAAATTGATTTTTAGTATAATATAAAAAAAAAGTTTTTAATTAAATATTTTTTTGAAAAAAAAAATGAGATTAACAGTAGATCCCATCCTCCTCTAATCCTCCTCTGTGAAATTTCTATTTCTTACAGTGAGGTGATTTGCGCGCTTTCTGCTATTTAGGCAAGGGATCCGATTTCTAGGGTTTCAATTCTCTCACCCATCGATCGATTGATTGCGGTTTGGTTCGATTGCAGCTTCAAGGAGCCTTCAATGGCTCCGATCCCGATCCGATTGGAGGCGTCTCGGCAAACCTACGCAACCAGCAGTTTGGTGATCGGCTACGCTCTCTGCTCCAGCTTGCTCGCCATCATCAACAAATTCGCCATTACCAGATTCAATTACCCCGGCCTCCTCACGGCGCTGCAGTATCTGACCTCCGCTCTCGGCGTCTGGATCTTCGGCAGGTTAGGGTTTCTGCAACACGATCCGTTCACTCTAGAAACCGCGAAGAAGTTCCTTCCTGCAGCATTCGTCTTCTATCTAGCGATCTTCACCAACACGAATCTCCTCCGCCACGCCAATGTGGATACCTTCATAGTTTTCCGGTCGCTGACGCCGCTGCTCGTCGCGATCGCCGACACAGCTTTCCGGCGGCAGCCGTGCCCTTCCAAGCTAACCTTCCTTTCATTGGTGATCATATTGGGCGGCGCCGCCGGGTACGTCGCCGCCGACGACGGATTCACCCTGACGGCGTACTCCTGGGCATTTGCCTATTTGGTGACCATAACAACAGAGATGGTGTACATAAAGCACATGGTGACCAATTTGGGGCTCAACACTTGGGGCTTTGTGCTCTACAACAATCTGCTGTCATTGTTGATAGCACCTCTGTTTTGGTTTCTAACAGGGGAGTATGCAGAGGCATTTTCGGCGGTGTCGTATTTGTCGAGCGCCGGGGAATTGTTCGAGCCGGTTGCATTCTCGGCAGTGTCATTGTCTTGCGTGTTCGGACTGCTGATTAGTTTCTTCGGTTTCGCCTGCAGAAAGGCAATCTCGGCGACTGCTTTCACGGTGACGGGAGTGGTGAATAAGTTTCTGACGGTGGCGATCAATGTGGTGATTTGGGATAAGCATGCCACTCCATTTGGTTTGGTTTGTTTGCTGGTGACTATTGTGGGAGGGGTTCTTTACCAGCAGTCTGTCACCGGAGCTGGGAATTCTTCGAATAAGCCGACGAATAGTAAGAACGACGACGACAATGTGGATAGCGGCGAAGAGAATGGCTTGTCTGGTAAGATTTCTGGTGTATGAGTTATGAACTAGAGCATCAATTCTTGTTCAAGTAGCTACAAAAATTGGTTCTTGGTAACTAACTATCATAATGTCTCATTTACAGAGTTCGATCAATGTTTATAATGAATGTATTTTGACAATCAATGTGTTGTTGTTGCATCTTGGAATTGGGGGGAAAATATCTTTGCTTTTCTTGCTCTGTTTTGTTAGTTCTTGATGATCTTGCTTCTTTCTTGTTATGGATTGGGAATTTGATGATACCCTTTGTTTGTTCCTCAATCCTCAAATCACCCAATTTTTTTCATTTTTCATATTATGATGTAACAACTTACATATTCTCTGCCTAGGGGGGGACATGCAATGATGATGATAGTGATACCCCAAAAGAAGGAAAAGAACAAAAACAAAAACAAAAACCCACCACTAAACTAAAAGAAACATACTACTACTAATTAATTCTTGGACATAATTAAACCAAACAGACAGACACAAATATATATATATATATATATATAGACAGAGAGAGAGAGAGAGAGAGAGAGAGAGAGATATTGTCCCTTATTAGCTTCTAGAACACAACACAACAAAACACAAGACTACATATGGAGAAGGTTCAGAGGTTGGAAAACTACAGGTCGTTATGAAATTGAAATTGAAATTGAAATTAAAATTGAAATTGAAATTGAAACTGAAATTCAGAGATGATAGCAACGTGTGCGGCGTTTGTTCCCGGCCAACAAAATGGACTTGTCGATGGCCATTTTCAGAAGTGTCCCCAGACAGGCTTGGCCATCATCGCCTTCTCTGGTGTGGTCGTGGTCGTGGTCGTGTTCGTCGTGGAGCCAGAGTGCGATTTTGGTTCGGCCTCCCAGAGTGCACATCTCTGCCCTCACCAGTTTCAGTTTTAGTTTTGGCCAGTTGAGTGCCTTGATTAGGTCCACCACCATCTCCGGCCGATCCTCGCACGCAACTGTCGCCTTTATCAGATTCAGACCACCACCACCACCACCATCGTCGCCGTCGTCGTTGCAGTAGCAGACCTTCACCTCGTCGGTCTCGCTGGGAACCATTGATTTCAGCCACGCGCCGTCGCCCTGCAGTTGCTCGGAAGTAGTTTTCTTCAGTTCCTTCACTCGGCGCACTGTTTCGGTGAGCAGAGACGCCTTGTCTGTCTGCGCGCGTACGGTACGGTACGATTTCATCAATTGAAATGGAAATAGAAATTGAAATAGAATTTGATTGATTGTTTGATTGAGCGTGAATGGATGATGATACCTTGATAGTGTTGGGGAGAATGGATTTGAGGGTAGCAATGTGAGCGTTGATACGCTTTCTGCGGCGCCTCTCGGCTTCCTTGTGGCTGTGTTTGGCTAATTCGGCCATGGCCATATTGGATAGTGATCTCCTCCTCTGGCTAGGGTTTGACGATTCTTCTTCAATATAAAAAATACTAGTAGGAGTATTAGTATTATTTGTTTCTCCTCCATTACCATTAGTATCTGCATCTGCATCTGTTCCTGTGGGTGAGACTGAGACTGAGACTGACCTCATCATTATTCCCTGCGAATCAAACATGTTTGTCTGTCGCTCTGTCTGCCTAATTCTGTCGAACGAACCAACAAACAACATTAAATCAAAGAGCGAGAGACTTACAGAGATATTGGATGAATGGCTACATTTGGGTTTGCATGGATTGAAGCTAGGATAGGAAGGGTTTTGATTTGGTTCTAAATTCTAATGTAATGTGGGGGATGGATCGGAAGCAGATACGAATATGCAAGATTGGTGCTTCTCCTTTTATAGAAGTTCTAGGCCCGGTTATCTCCTTTTTTATTTTTTTATTTTTTTTATTTTTCCTTATTTCATTTTTAATAAAGGTACATTTATTTTATGTAAAATATTATTTCAATTATATATATATATATATATATAAACATTATCCTATTCCTACCAAACACAAACTAGACACATTTCTTTCTTTCTCTTTCTTACATTACAATAGAAATATGGAAAGTATATTCACTTCATATTTTTGAATGATTTTTTTTTTTTTAGATACTAAAGAATGGTGTCAATAATACTAAAAATACTACTCTCTCCGTCTCATAAATATAGTTTTAATTGGATTGGACACAATATTTAAGGAATATTAAGGGTGTGTTTGTTTGGGGGTTTGGATTTTGGATTGAGATTTGAATAGTAAAAATTTTGAATTTGAATAGTTGTATGATGTGATATAAATAGGGTTTGATGTGATGTTTTGAATGTAAAATTGATTTTTTGTATAATATAAAAAATGAAAAATAGGTGTTTGATTTGATGTTTTTGGGGAGAAAAAATTGGATGAATAGTGTAAATCCTCCAAAATCCTTCAAACAAACACACCCTAATATTATATTGGCAGTGAGTAAAAAATATGGATAAAAGACAATTTTGTCCTTGTGAGTGTATTAATGTAAAAAATAGTGGCAATTGTGTAATAAAAATGAAAAAGTGGGGGTAATTTTAGTGGTAATATGATTATTCATGAAAATAAGACTATTGTTTTGGGACGGACAAAAATAGTAAACAAAACTATTGTATTGGAACATAGAGAATAATATTTTGCATCGAGCAAAGAAAGTATAGTGTATATTATGTTTATATATATATATATATTGTATTCTTTATTTTTATAATTTTTTTGGAAAATTACTCTAAAGTCATTTTTAATTCTTTATTTTATTTTTGCAACAATTACAATAAATTTACATAATTTTACTTCAATCATAAATTTTAATTTTCACTCTAAAAACTATATTTCATATATATTCATTTTTTATATTATTTTATACTCTCTCTGTCCCGATTCATAATTTTTTTTTCGTCTATTTTTCTTCAAAGTATATTTTTCTTATTTTAAAAAAATTAATCATACACTAATACTAAAATACATTTTAAATTAGAAATATAATAGTACACATACAATTACTTTATACATGAAATAAATGATCTCAAATGACCCATTTTGATATGAAAATTAGCGTTTATAATTAATAACTATTACAAATAAAATAATTAAAAAATAAAATTACATATCACTTTTTAAAATAATAAATTATACATTATTTTTTAAAAATAATAAAATTACATATTATTTTTTTAAAAAAATAATAAAAATACACAAAATACTCTGCTCAATTTTTTAAATGGAGCTACAGTGTTACTTTATTTATGAAAATGCAAAATGGGGATGACCCCACTACATAAATACAGTGGATTGAAGATGATCTACCAAAAAATAAAAATAAAAAAATTGGGTGAACAAATTGATGGAACTAACTAATCTATTTTTAATGTTTAAATTTTTTATTTGAATATTATTTTTAAAAATAAAAATTTTATTTATTTGTTTAGAATAGATAGATAAAAGAAAAAAAAATTGAAAAAAAAAATCTTATTTCCTTGTTTAAAAAAATAATATTTATTCATCTAACTTTTTTTTTTCTTGTAATATTATAAAAATTATAATATTAGTATTTTATTTTTTTACAAGAAATTAATAATTCAATATCAAAATACCTTTTATATTACTTATATAATTTTTTATATTTAATATAAAAAAATATATATTTATTTAAAAATATAAAATAAACACACACTAATAATAATAATAATAACTTATTATACAGTACCTATAGCTATATAGCATGCATCATGATTTGAGTTCCATGTCTCTGTAATGCCAGGGAGTATTTATATAAAGATTTTAAAAATTTAGGATTTTTAATAAAAATAAAAAATAACAAAAAAAAAAAAAAAAAAACTGTATACTTACTCGAATAGATAGTTACGAGTTTTAATAAAAATAAATAGTACTCCCTCCGTCCTACATACCATGTCTACGTTGCCGTTTCTGTCCGTCTCATATACCATGTCACTTTCATTTTTTGGAAAATGATTATACACTTTAATCTTATTTTAAACTTTTTAATTTTATTATTTTTTTTAAATTTTAATTAAACTAATTAGTTATCTTAAATTTAATTTATAATTATTTATATTATAGGATAATTATTTTCACTAATACATTCTTAATTATCTATTAATTACACCCCTTCTAAAATACCATATCTACAGTGTAGCAGACACGGTACGTGGAACGGAGGTAGCAGTATTTTTCTGTCGGAACTAATTATGCTATTTTGTTTGAACATAAAGACTAAAAAAATACCCTTTTCATCCTAAACACTCTCCAATATAGTATGTATTTTTTATTTGTCCCAAATACTTTACAATATCTTAAAAATAAAAAATAATTAATTATACTTAACCTCTAATAAATATACATCACATTTTATTATATCGTAATACACTGTTTGTTTTATTTAATGTTTCAATAATAATACAACTTTCGTCCAGAAACAAGAGTATCATTTATTTTTTGCACATAAATTTTTCGAATATTAGTATTATATTGGTCTGTAATAAAAAAAAAAGACAAAAACATCTTATTAGTATGATATAATATAAAAGTAATGACATTTGTGTAATATATATAATAATTAAATTATTAAATAATACTTTTAATCAAATTGAAAATATATTACTTGTTATAACACACCATATAACATAACGAGATTAATTATTGAGTAATTCTTTAAATATTTTTATATGAAAATATTTTTTGATAACGTGATTAATTATTGAGTAATTCTTTAAATATTTATATTTTTTGTTATGTATGTATTAAATAGAATAATTAGGTAATTAGTGCAATTTATTAATTTATTAATGATCAAAACATACAATCGAATATCATTTCCTTTTCAAATTTTGTGTGAATATTACATCATCCCCAAATATTTATCACGTGTCTTAGATTTTAATTATTGTTGGCTCCGAAATTAATTCGGCCAAAAATGCCTTAAGATAGTAAATATATACGAAAATAGATATTTTTATATAAGAGTGGATAATATATTGAATTTCTTAATTCATCGTTGCTGAAATTAATCACGATCCGTGATAATCTAAATTAATTAAATTACTCTTTTTCAATTAAGATGATTAAACGTTAAGATTACTTCAGCATATGCTGAATTTATTAACAAATCAGCTTATTCTACGATAAAATAGAAAAGATAGATACATTCAAGAGAATGAGAAAAATAGTACAATTGTATTATTTAAGTTATATTGCTCCATCCGTCCCAATACAACAGTATTGTTTACTATTTTTGTCCGTCTCAAAATAATAGTATCATTTTCATAAATAATCATATCACCATAAAACTATCAATATTTTTTCATTATTATTATATAATTGCCAACTTTTTACACTAATATACTCACCGAGGCAAAAAAGTCATTTATCTTTACTTTTTATCAACTACTAATATAATATCAATATTCCTTAAATCCCGTGCCCAACACAATGAGATTATACTTTTGGAACGGAGGGAGTATATGCATTCTTAAAGGCGTGTTTGCTTGTGGGATTTGATTTCCAGTTTTACTATTCTAATTTTTTCCTTAAAAAATATTAAATCAATTACCAATTTTTTATTTATTACACTAAAATTAATTTTTACATCCAAAATATCACATCAATATATATATATTTATATCACATCAAACAACTATTTCAATTCAAAATTTTACTACTCAAAACCAAAATCCAAAACCACTTTTACAAGTAAACACATTCGCGTGCATGTTTTTTTGCTAATTTGAAAGTTTTTAATTTCTTAATAAAATACGCTCTCTCTGTCCTACAATGGATGTCTTGGTTACTGTAAACACGATAATTTAGGTTAAGTATAATTAGTAGATACTTAAGAATATATTAGTGAAAATAATTAATATATAATATAAATTATTATGGATTAAGATTAAGATAATTAATTAGTTTCATTAAAATTTAAAAAAAATAAATTAAAAAATCTAAAATGAGATTAAAATGCATAATTATTTTCCAAAAAAGAAAAGTGACATGAGATATGAGATAGATATAAACGGAAACATAGACATGGTATGTGAGACGGATGGAGTAATATTTTTCTTTTACTCTTCTAAATGCATTTTATAAAATTGTTTTAATTAAGAAATAAGAAAAAAATGTAAAATTATACTCCCTCCGTCCCAAAATAAAGTATCCATTTTTTCATTTTAGTCCGTCTCATAATAAAATATCAATTTTTTTTTTAGTAATTGTATTATCTATCTAATATTACAAATACCCTTACCTTTATATCATACCATACTAATAAGGTTATTTTATTCATTTCTACTTTATTTATACTATATTTTAATATAATATTAATATTTCTAAATATACGTACAAAAATAAATGAATACCTCGTGAGACGAAAAAAGTATTAAAATTATACCACATAACAAACTATATAACATAAAATATAAAGCATGCAATTATTTAGTGAGAGATGACACATCATTTAAAAAAAATCAAACTAAAATAAAATCAGCATAAGATATGCATACAAGGCTCTTTTTATACATATATTTTGTGAATTTTTTAGCATTATTTATTAATAATACTTTTTAATTTTTTTTATCTAATATATAATTTGTTTAAAATATTACATCAAATAATTTATTTTTTATTATTTTAACATTTCAAAACTAAATAAATATTTTTATACACTTTAGTTAGTGTGCTGATTGAGTTAAATAAATTGATCTGACCTAATCAACACATATTTATAAAAAAAGTATCCGACCAACACGTAATATAATATATAATTCAATATATTTTAATTTTAAGATAATAAGCCGATT